TTTATTTTTTGTTTATGTGTATACAGCACACATGTGTATTTCTAAAACCTTCAGGTCAGCATCCTTTTTTAAAAAAAATAAGAATGCCATTTATTTTATTTTTTAATATGTTTTTATTGGTTTCAGAGAGGAAGGGAGAGGGAGAGAGAGAAACATCAATGATGAGAGAGAATCATTGATCAGTTGCCTCCTGCATGGATCCCTTGCCCCCTACTGGGGATCGAACCGGAAACCTGGGCATGTGCCCTTGACCGGAATCAAACCTTTGGAGTTTATTTTTTGTTTATGTGTATACAGCACACATGTATATTTCTAAAACCTTCAGGTCAGCATCCTTTTTTAAAAAAAATAAGAATGCCATTTATTTTATTTTTTAATATGTTTTTATTGGTTTCAGAGAGGAAGGGAGAGGGAGAGAAACATCAATGATGAAATAGAATCAGTGATCAGTTGCCTCCTGCATGGATCCCTTGCCCCCTACTGGGGATCGAACCGGAAACCTGGGCATGTGCCCTTGACCGGAATCAAACCTGGGACCCATCAGTCCTCAGGCCAACGCTCTTTTCACTGAGCCAAACCGGCTAGGGCAAGTCAGCATTCTTGAAGATTAAATCAAGATGTTAAAAGTTTGAACAAGGGGAGGAAATTTTAAGTATCATTTGAGATTCCTATCCATTGTTTGGTATGCATTGTTTAGTAGTGCAACCTGATAACATTTGAATTCTATTATCAAGCATGTCAAACTCAAAGGCTAACATGGGCCAAATAAACAAGGTGAAAGTTTATGTGGGCTGCAAAAAAACAGAAGCTTCAATTTTCATAGAAACATGCTGAATACAAAGGGCTGAAATAAATGAATAGTCCTTAACATAAAATAATAGAACATTTTAATGAAAATTAATTTTTTCTTGAATATTAACTTACCAGACACTGAATAATTGCACAAATTAATAAGTGTAACGCAAATAAACCTATTTTTCCTGGTTTTCAGAAAGCGAAATATTTCCTGTTGCGCACACCAAATAAGTCAGTCCAAGACTAATGACGTGGCCATCGGCTGCTAAAATATTCGCTGTTAGTGTTAGTGGAAATGGCGCATAAGGGAAATGAATGCAACACGATGATAGTAATCAGTCATTAGGGAACGTTGTAGTTTGTTATTAATAATTATGTATAATAGGATGTTGTAAAAATTAAGTTACGCAATTTTTATTAAAACGTTTCTTATATACCATTATATTGGCTGGGCCGCTAAAGTATTCGTTGTGGGCCGAGCGCGGGCAGAGAGTTTGACATGCTTGTATTAGTTACTGTCTGATCATTTCATGCAAAGGACTGAGATTAGTGTTCAGGTGTTTTAGATGGGATTCCTCGATAGGGTAATGGATGGTTGGGAGATTTTATCACAATGAATTCCATGTTCACTGTGTGGACAACCTACCTTTAACTTACCTGCAGGTCTACCCTGTTTTACCGCACATGTGTGAGGTACAGTGAATAATAACAAAACCAGGGGCTTCTTACTAATTGCTGTGGGCAGAGTCAAGAACTCGGAAGAGCCAGGACTTCACCCTACTCGCCAGCGAACAGGAAGCTGGCAGAAGACAGGAGACACCTGGGTCCGATACAGAGGACTTCACTGCTCACAGCACAGCCAGCAGCATGCCCTTCACATCAGGCTTCTCCTAGGTCCCCTGGGGGTAGAGAGGCGGACTCTGGGAACCGCAGGCTTACGAAACCCTAACCTTTTATAAGGAGGCTGCAAACAAACCTTTGGCTCAGAAGGAGAGATTTTCTTTATTATACTGAACAGCAAATAAATTGCCCCGTGCCCAGGAGGCCGATACTCTCTCAGTCTTCAAGCCTTCTGCTATAGAAACATTCTTGAAAGGATAGTCCAGAGAAAAAGCTAGCGCCATCCATGCCGGACAGGATTGCAGCTACTATGTGTGAAATATCTAAACTGAGGGTACCATTACCTACCTCACTGGCTTCAGATATACATGAGATCATACATGCAAAAGTGCGAGGTACTAGGAAGTGCTCAATTAATAGAGACTATTATACCCCTCCAGCACCCTTAACTTTCCTACCCAGTGATACCTTTACCCTTTGGTTCATTTCTAACCAGTATCTTTCTAGGTCTCTTTGCCTGTTTTTTTAAATTCCTTTTGTTCTTCAGAGAGTTCATTGTCATTCGGTCAATGACCTCCACAAACTTTTAAACTATTGCGCGTATTTGGTACATCAATCAGGACAGGGCAGCCTGTGCCGGCGCTCACAATAACACGGGCTTATTTCCAGGCTGTGCCCACTGTGCACTGTCAGGGGTCCACTCGTTATGGTCACGTGGGGACTCAGGTGGATGGGGCATTCACATCACGTGGTAGTCATGCTCGGAAAATGAAAGCCCAGGAAGGTCTCACACCCTTCACTCTGCTTAAAACTCCTATGAGAGCCAGTCGTGTGCTGCACCAAATCCCGGGGGCCAGGAAGAGCAGTCCCACCAGGGGCAGGGGAGGCGGAGCTGCAGCTGCTGGCTGAACAGGGTTTAGGACTCCATGGCTTACATGGGGCTAGTAAACATGACTCCACCCATACTGAGTCATTGCTGCCCCATGTAAAGAAAGTCAAGTGGTTAAAAATCTTGTTCTAGGGATATATAAGAACATGAATTTACCAAATTCTTTTTTTAAATCCTTACCCAAGGATTTGTTTTTATTGATTTCAGAGAGAGGAGGGGGGTAGAGAGAGAGCGAGAGAGGAGAAACATCAATCGGCTGCCTCCTGTAGGAGCCCTGACTGGGGACTGAACCTGCAACCTGGGTATGTGCCCTGACTGGGAATCAAACCTGAAACCTTTTGGTGTATGGGATGATGCTCCAACTAACTGAGCCACCTGGCCAGGGTGAAATTACCAAATTCTTTATTACATAATTTGCGGTAAAGGTTTTTCCTTTTTGCCTATTGTGCTAAAAATCCCAAACCCTTGAGTGAAGTTTGTCTCTGGAGGTGATAATACAGTTTGCTATTGCTGATACGAGTCACTGCCTTTCCCTAAGTGTTGCTGTTAAACTGAGCTAAGATCATGCTCAAACTAAAGCCTAATGTTCCAGCTGGAAGGCATGAGCTGGAAAGAGGTGAGGACCGAATCAGATGGCATGCACTGTGTGTGAATACATATATTCAGGTGACAATGTTGATGCTGTATGAATCTCTTAAAGTTGGTTAATCTATCTGTGGTTGGCAAACTCATTAGTCAACAGAGCCAAATATCAACAGTACAACGATTGAAATTTCTTCTGAGAGCCAAATTTTTTAAACTTAAACTATATAAGTAGGTACATTGTTATTAACTTAATTAGGGTACTCCTAAGGCTTAGGAAGAGCCACACTCAAGAGGCCAAAGAGCCGCATGTGGCTCGCGAGCCGCAGTTTGCTGACCACGGGGCTAGGGCAATGTATTTTATTTTTTAAATTGATGAGAGAGAGAGAAACATCAATTTGTTGTTCCACTTATTGATACACTAATTTGTTGATTCTTGTATGTGCCCTGACCGGGGATCAAACCCACAACCTGGCATATTGGAATGATGCTTTAACCAAATGAGCTACCTGGCCAGGGCTGCTGGGATAACTTAATTTCCCCTTTGTAGGCAAAGTGAAAAAAGAACATTTTTTATCAAGTGAAAGAAAAAAAAAAAAAGCATCTGCATGATCGGGGCCAGGGAGGGATACTGGAGGTTGGCCAGCTGGGGAGGGACTGCGGGAGGGCTCCAGGGCGTGTCTGGCCCGTCTCGCTCAGTCCCGATTGGCTGGACCCCAGCAGCAAGCTAATCTACCAGTCGGAGCGTCTGTCCCCTGGTGGTCAGTGCACATCATAGTGAGCTGTTGAGCATCCTTAGCATATTATTAGCATATTACGCTTTGATTGGTTGAACGGACGACCGGACACTTAGCATATTAGGCTTTTATGATATAGGATTAGTTTGCAGGCAACCATTAGTAGCTGCTAATTCCAGCTTTCAAGTTCTCATTCATGAAGAATCTGACTGGGGATGGAGCAGAGGGCTCCCAGGCAGTGCGACACAGCATGGTCTGAGAACAAGGGAGCTAACAGCATCCTCAAAACTACAGCTTTCTAGCCCTCCATGAGAAAAACATTAAATATCACGATGAGTAAAGGAAAAAACGTAACAGATACACTGACACCTGAGGACAATATTGGACATACGGCTTCCTGACCGACTGCGGATGGTAAAGGTAATGACTTTGAAGGAACAGAGGTGCTGAGAAAGCACACATACACCTCTGTACAGTTATCGGCCGGACAGGGACCGGCACTTAGGGAAACCAGACCGAGCTAGACGACTTATTTCTAATTGCAAACACCGACCTCAGCACAGATTAGTGAAACCACGGGCGAGGTCACATTCCCTAAATCGTTTTCAGAAGGAATTACTGTAGTAAATCTTAGCAGCTGAAAGAGCAGAGATTTCTGTGGCTAGGGGACCTTCCCACATGGAGAACCTGCCCGCACCGAGCACCTGTCAGAGGAGCAGACCAGCAGGACTGCTCGCCAGAAGGTGGCTGGACTTTCCAACACGCGCAAAGCAAAAGCGCCTTCATTACTACCCGCATCCTTTCCTCTTCGGACTGGCGAGGAGACTCTGCAAAACTGAAACTCTGTCAGAAGAGACACGTGGCTGGGCCACACTGAAATCCAATCCGGACTCATCATGCTTGGCCTCACCCTTACTTTCTCCTTTGGGTCTAAAAAGCGTGGATAATCTAATTATTTTAAGTCTCCAAATATAGACGATTTCTTAGGGCTTTAAGATATCACTATGGAAAGAAATCCTCAAAGTAACAATGCCTTAAACCACTGAGTAGAAATCCAAATATCACCCACAATGTAAACATATAAAAGATACACACAGGTGCACATTCATTTTCAGGCAATACACAAAGCTTCAATAAAACGGAGAACAACAATTTCACACGTGGACAGCGAAGGGGCTGCTTCAGCAAACATTTATTTTGGTGCTTATTTTACAGAGAACTTAGAACAGGCGCCCACTGCGCAGCGACGGCGAGCCACCTTCCGGCCTTTGCTTCTCTCTCCTCCAAATCCAGATGCTGACACAGAAGTGGCTCAGATGCAGTCCACTTTCTCCTCCACGGGCTGCTCCGTGAGAGAATTATAAACCATGAACCTAAACTGAGTGAACCCTGGCAGTTTATTGCAAGCAGCACCTGTGGCCGAGAAAAGAGAACATTGCCTGGTTACAGGATGGTCCTGTTTACCATGGATACAGACACCGCCTGCTGTCCGACTAGGCCACGCGAGGGATGCTGCATCGTCTGCCTCAGTGCCCGGATCGACAGTCCCTGAGGAAGGGACCTGTGGGTGAGCCATCTCTTTGAACCCCAGAATATAGGCTGTTTTTTTGCTCTATAAAAATGCTACTATTATTTACTGTTTCCATATTCTTTCCTTAGCAAAAAAAAAAAGTATTTTTCAGGGTATCTAAACATTTTATTCCCCCAGCCACTAGCACGTGCCCATCTTTCACCCAGAACCCGCCCCCCCCAGGCTCCCTGTTCTTTCCTGCTCTTCTGTTCCCATAGAAAGTGCGGAACTGTTGGTCAAGACACTCTGGATCTAATCAAGTTCATCTCACTGACGTGGCTTCCAGCCGCCCTACCTACCTGTGCACAGACATGTGGAGGGTGTCCCCCTAATGTCATCACTTTCACTATAAGGGACTAGACCAGCGGTTCTCAACCTGTGGGTCGCGACCCCTTTGGCGGTCGAATGACCTTTTCACAGGGGTCGCCTAAGACCATCCTGCATATCAGATATTTACATTACAATTCATAAGAGTAGCAACATTACAGTTATGAAGTAGCAACGAAAATAATTTTATGGTTGGGTCACAACATGAGGAACTGTATTTAAAGGGCCAGAAGGTTGAGAACCACTGGACTAGACTCATCTACAATTATATAATTATCACCTACAATTTTAAATTCAGCCATTATTATATCATCATCATTTTACATCCTATTAAATCCAACTCTGAGCCTTTTAAGGTTTACTTTTTAAGAGGAAATCAATGAAACTGACTTATTTTATACATAAAGCCTTTCCCTCCCATAAGTTATATTGACTTTTTTATCTCAGTACTTAAGAAAAGAGTAAGGAATTCTTCAAACACGTTTTTCAAATACAGAACTGTGGGAAGTAAAAGATCAAAGCTCAGTAATAAGCAGTCTAACCTAATAAGTCATATTGATCAGTCAGCTGTGTATCTTCCCCATCGGGAAACGCACTAATGAGAAGCCGCGGCGGCTGATCCTGAAACGCTTTGAAACTGCGCTAGGCTCCGACAGAACTTAAATGAAGCAAAGGACCTGCTCAGTACAAAAGTAACTCCGCTAACTTCTTAGGCTTACTAATTGCTAATACGTTTTGTACCGTGGCGCCCCAAGAAGATCTAAATGACTAGGACATTTAAATCATGAATGGGGAAGAAGCAGGGAAGATAAGTTACCCCTTTCTATTTCTAGTTAATAACAGCATCGGACTCGATTCGCCCATCTCAGCACGGACTGAGCAGAAGGGCACTCAGGACAGAGGGCAGAGGACTCAGAGCAAAGATCGCATCACAGCTCCCCGTCAGCCGCAGCAGGGCCCACGTGTACTGCTAACACTGTGGGTCGTGACAGATCCTCGGTGAACATTCGCCCAGTGCCTACTCAACATCCTCCATTTCCATTGTCTAGGAATAATATACACCCGGATGTTCAAAAGGGTATGTTTTGCTGTAGCCGGTTTGGCTCAGTGGATAGAGCATCGGCCTGCAGACTGAAAGGTCCCAGGTTCGATTCCGGTCAAGGGCATGTACCTTGGTTGCAGGAGGCAGCTGATGGATGTTTCTCTCTCACCGATGTTTCTGACTGTCTATCCCTCTCCCTTCCTCTCTGTAAAAAATCAATAAAATATATTTTTAAAAAAAGGGGGGGAGCTGCGGTGGAAGGTCCGCCGGCGGTGGCGTCTGCTGTTCTGGTCACTCCTCGCCGCTCGCTTCGCGGCTCGACCGCCGCAGCCATGCCCATGAAAGGCCGCTTCCCGATTTGCCACACCCTGCAGTACCTGGGCCAGGGGGACGTGGTGTTCAAGGGCATGGTGAAGGTCATGACGGTGAATTACAACACGCACGGGAAGCTGGGCGAAGGCGCCAGGAAATTTGTATTTTTCAACATACCAATACAAAAACCCTTGGGTGCAGATCATGATGTTTAAGAACATGACACCATCACCCTTCCTTCGATTCTATTTAGATACTGGTGAGCAGGTTCTCGTGGATGTAGAGACCAAGAGCAATAAAGAGATCGTGGAGCACATCAAAAAATTCCTGGGGAAGAATGAGGAAACCCTCAAGCAAGAAGAGCAGGAGAAAAAGCAGCTTTCTCATCCAGCCCACTTTGGACCTCAAAAGTATTGCCTGCGGGAGTGCATCTGTGAGGTGGAAGGGCAGGTACCCTGCCCGGCCCTGGTGCCCTTACCCAAGGAGATGACAGGGAAGTACAAAGCAACTCTGAAAGCCAGTGCCCAGGACTAAGGCCCCAGGCCTGTGGGCGATTGTTACCTTGGCCACAGGGAGATCCTAGTTCTGTCCTCAGAGACTCTGCCAATAAAATGCTCAGTCATCCAGCAAAAAATAAATAAATAAATAAATAAAAAATAAAAAATAAAAAAAAGGGGTATGTTTTCATCAACATTCGAAAGTTCACACAAAGACAAATCCCAAATACGACTCACCATAACTTCCAGTCACATTGGCACATATGACAGCCCCAAAGAACTTTGGAAAATACTTCTGGATTCTTGAAATCACTTTCTGGCAAGCTGTGGTGGGACTTTCTCCTCCTCTCATGTATTCGACAGCTTGGTAGCTGATTGAAACAGAGGCAACACTTGAGAATCAAAAATTAAACTAACTCTAACTTTAGTTACTTTAAGAAAGGAATCTAAAACTATCAAAATTGTCAAGTTTGACAGAATAAATGAACAGGCGTTGGTGGCAGCAGCGGAAAACGCATGCAGACCTTGATATGATGCCTGTCAATTCATCCGCCCATCAGGTTCGGAGGACTATTATTTTGGAGTAACTGTTACTCAGTAATAATAGCGGAGGTCACAAAGGACAGAGGTCATCTTTAAGAAACAGGCCACGATCAATAGGAAAAACACTGGGCCTGTGCGGAGCACCTGATCATGATTATGAATTCCAGGGGTTGGACACAGCGACTGCATTTCTGACTTTTATCATCAGTTACCACAGCTCCTGTACTCATGGCCTTACATCATTTACATGGATCATAAGTATCCTCATCTGTGAAGTCGAGTGAGAAATATTATTTTATTTCGAGAGGACCAGGGTTACTTAGTTTGAGTGATTATGCTATCAACGAGACAGGGACAGGGCTGGAGCAGACTTTCTCAAAAGCTCCTGAACACACATTCGGGTTACGTGGCAGGAAAAGTTACGATCCACCTTGATAGACAATTCTCCTCTGAGGGTGTCAGAAAGTCACAAAGGTGGGAAGTCGCACCTGGGCAGGAAGCGCATCAGGATGTCCCCATCCCCAGTGGCCGCGGCAGCCCCGGCAGTGTCGTCAGCATAGGCGCCGGCTCCGGGAATTGGAGAATCTCCGATTCGACTGTGGGAGGACACAGCATAGTGATTTAGGACCGGAAATCAGTGGAAAAATGAAATTACTTTATGAGCTGTTTCAATAATGGCAGATATTTCCACTTAGCCACGGATAACTGTTTTAAGTAATTTCTTCATCAGAACACAGAGAAAAGGATTTTCATAAGTTTCAACTTGGATTTCCACAAACCTCCGTTAATTCTCTAAGAATTAGATACCAGCTTATTTATCAAGATGGCACAGACTTATAGTGACTATTCCACTATTCCCATCCTTGGTCATCTACTTTCTGAATTACCTCAACAGGTTCACATTCATTTTCCTCACCTACTATCGACTTCCGCTTTCTAGCTAATGTGCCCAAACTGTACCGAAGTGTTTCCTTGTCATAACCCGTCAATGCTTTTCTATTACTCTGAAAAAAAAAATCCAGAAATCCTGCATTCACTTAAGACCCCTTGAAATCTGACTCGTCTTCCTCCCCTGCCCCAACATTACGCAGTTTCCCTTCCAGCCAGCGGGGGCCCTGCACTGTGTGAAGGACTTTGGCCCTGTCAGTGCCTTCACCTGGACGTCCCCTTCCCTTCCCTTCCCGAGGCTCAGGCTCAGCTCCCAGCATCTCCCTACTGGCCTCCCTGACTACCCAGCCTAATCGGCTCACCCCTAGCCCCCAACTCTCAAGCACCCAGGGCCTCCCTCTCCTTTGGCACTTGGCAGACACTAATCTACTCTCTGTCACAACTGTTCATCTCAGCCGTGAAGGTAAGGCTATGCTTTGCTTCTGCACCTCCCAAAGCAGCAAGCACATAGGGGTTTGTACTCATAGTGTATACTTGTGAGAGCTGTACTCTTAGAAACACTGACCCATGTATTTTGAATTTTATACCATTAGTAGATGTACCGGCAGCAGTGTGTCCCGTCTTATGGATTGCAACCATGCCTGGAGTTAAAACAAAAAACTCTTTGTAGGTATCAACTATAAAGTTTACCTCAAATATAACCAAATAATTGAACAGTTGGTGATGTAAATTTCCTCTTTCGTGAACTTCAGGTAGAAGAAAATAGGACATTTGGGAATACTGCAGATGATACCAACTATAACTTGTGCTTTTTAATGAGCTGGTTTCACAGCATCATCTGGTGGACACCCCATATTCTTATTCTTCAGTTTCCTCAGTTACTTTTCAAGGCTTTTTCAAAGGTCATTCCAGGGAAAATCACTGACACAGACTAATAGAATTTTCCAACATCATAGCCTGGAAAGATCACGTGAATGTGGCAAATGTCAAATTATTACAGAGCTAAACAGAAATAAACATTAAAAAGCCACAAGTGAATAGTCATTAGATATTAGGGTCGTATATAAGGTAACGTGTCAAAATGTGTACAGATGCTAAGGAAAGAATGCGCGTGTGTGTGTATGTGTGTGTGTGTGTGTGTGTGTGTGTGTGTGCCTCGGGTATGTAGGTACATATCTTTAAAGTCTAACTTGCCAGTTAAAACAATCAAAACCACCTTCTGCCACATGAATAGGGATGAAAAAGTTAAGAATCACAGAAAGGCAATTAAAAATGGCGTAACTTTAACCACAAAAACTGTATCAAAGGCAAATTACCGATAGTGTCATGACCATAATGAGCTCCTGTCTCTCCATAAGCAGAATCATCCTGCTTTAAGATACTGGGTGGCTTGTAAGGTCCACAGTATTTTGAAGCATCTGGGATAACATTCTGTAAACAAGATTTAAGTTTTATTTCTTAGAAAGGGCGATTTTAGAAATCGGCAAGTAGTTACGTACAATCACGAACTTAAGCAAGAATTCAAAAAGACATCTGGTACGTGAAAGATAAGAATTAAAAGCCAAAGATTAACTGAGCCTTCTGTGAACAGATGGATATAATTTTACTGAGTACCTCCTGGTCTCAGACTTACACAATGTGGGGGAAAATCTACTCATTCTGGAAAAGATCCCCGGCTTTTCTCTTTATGTGCCTAAAATTCTCAGCATAATGGCAGACATTAAGTGAAGACTTTGTGTTTGATATTAATCCTCAACAGAATTAGGTCTGCAACCTGACCTCTAAATTTCACGATTTGTTCCCTGGGCCAAAGAAGAAATTATCAATTCAAAGCAAACTCAATTTTAAAACCATCTTTCTTTCAAAGCCAGGTTCAAGTGAACATAGTCTAAATTTTACTCCCTGATTCCTTTATGAATCTCAAAGGCTCAAGAAAATAACCCAAATTCATAAAGTTAGGTGGAACACATGGATTAGCATTACAGTGAGAAGCGGACTTCTCATGTCATATCATGAGTGCGCTCAGGGCCCCCTGACCTGGTTTTACACAGGGGCCTCTTTCAAGCACTAACCCCAGACACTCCTGGGACCCTCAAAGGTAATTAGGATTTGGGGAAGAGACAGATGAGCGACTGTGACAGCCCACAGTAAAACCCTGAATGGTAAAGTCAGACTAACCTAGGCTCCGAGCCCCACAGTGGACAGATCAAGTACCCCACGAGTAACATACTAGATATCTAAAAGTCTGCAGAGGTCCTCAAACTTTTTAAACAGGGGGCCAGTTCACTGTCCCTCAGACATTCCACACATGCACACTACGGGCCTGGGACGAGTCGGCTGCTAAGCAGGACAGGCAGTGGCGGCAAAAACACCCGGCGGGCTGGATAAATGTTTTTGGCGGGCCGCATGTGGCCATGGGCCGTAGTTTGAGGACCCCCTGAATTCTAAAACATATATAAGGAGCTCATATAACTTAACAAAAGGAAGACAAACAATCTAATTAAAAAATAGGCAAAGGACCCAAATAGACACTTCTCCAAAGTGGACATACAGATGGCTAAGAGACATGAAAAAATGCTCAAAGTCATTGATCATCAGACAGATGCAAATTAAAACAACAATGAGGTATTACCTCACACTTGTCGGAATGGCTACCATCAACAAATCAACAAATGACAAGTGCTGGCGAGTAACATTTATCCGGCCCACTGGGTGTTTTTTGCCGCCGCTGCCTGTCCTGCTTAGCAGCCGACTCGTCCCGGGCCCGCAGTGCGCATGTGTGGAATGTCTGAGGGACAGTGAACTGGCCCCGTTTAAAAAGTTTGAGGACCTCTGGTCTAGAGCCTCCAGCCCCACCAGGGCGAGATCCTGGGGAACTGCACAGGGATACAAGCTAAGGGATACTTTAGACCAATGGTTTCCAAACTTTGATGTTTTAGACTTGGAAACTGTTGTTCTAAGGAAATACAAGCAGAGCCGTTCCGACCGAGGCAGGCCCCTCTCCCCATAAGGGAACCTTCCAAGTCTGACAACTATTCAGCTCTCTCCTGAGGACATTCAGCAAGGAGGCTTTCGGAAACACCGAAGCCGGGAGTCAACTTAAAAACTTAAATCATCCATCGGTTCCAGAGTGTAACCAGCGTGCTAACCATCGCCTTAGGCACCAGGTAGACAACAGAGAGCAGAAGGGAGGTCACTTCATATTGTGAAAGCATTTACTTTTCACGCGTATGTGTACACACCCTCCAATAATTGGGCTGGCAATTCCGAGCAAGCCAATCTGCATGCAACGCTCGAGAAGTATCGGTAGACAAATCCTCGTTGACAAAGCCCATACTCTCCGCAAACTTGGTGGCTGGGGATTGGAAAGAAGAGAAAAATCTAAGTCAGTTAATGATCGTCTTCTAAATAAAATCTATGTGCGGGAAGTGCTGTACTTCAGCCGTCTCTTCCGTGGGGTACACCATCCCAGAGTACACAGAGGAGTCTTCAGACACGAACAATTTTAAGGGCATCAGTTTCTAGACCTCAGCTTCCGTGTGTCCTTCCCAAAAGCGATCTGCTTGAGGCCGTTGGGGTATGTGTTATGACGGTTGTCCTTTCCTCCCCCCTTTCCCCACAGCCTCCCTTCTTCCACATTCCAGAAAAGCAGGCACGCCTCCCACCAATGAAGAATCCTATTGCTCTAACTAGGGCGCGGTGCTCAGCACGGGAAAGCTTGGAGGCACTGCAGGGATAACGGGAGCCCACGGAGACCAGACCCTTCTCCTGTCAGGTGGTTTTCAACAAAACTGGACACCACCTGTTGGAGCTGTGAGCTGATCCATGGTTAAAAGTTGGTTCTGATTGCATGATTTTGGTGTGAACTGGGAGTGCCATAGCAAAGCTCCGCCTGTTCCCGTCGTCTCACGTTAATAATGCTCCCCGGGTCTTACGCCTCTAAAAGGTGTTTCAGGGAGAGAACTGGTGCCAAGTCCTCTTTCAGGCCAGCAAGTCCCCATCTACAGACAATGCACCAACTTTTGAAAGTCCTATTTTAAAGGTGAAGAAAGTGAGAATTTAGAAGTAACAAATCCAAAGTTAAATAGGTTTTAAGTAAAAGAGCTGGGATTTGAACTTGGGTCAGCTTTTATCCACTGTTTCATACTGAGTCCTTTTTTCACAGTGAATACAGACAGAAGATTAGACGCTGCAGTAGAGTGAAAATATACCTGACTCTCCCGCTAAAAGTGTGTGTGTGGTGTGTTCCAGGACTTTCCGTGCCACGCCGATAGCGTTTTTAATTCGTCTAAGGTCGCCTACTGCTCCTACATTCATGGTGGTGCTGCAAGAGAAAACAATGCGGTGAGATTTATGACGGCATTTCCACAGACTCATAGATTAACAAAGCACTGCTTTACTTCAAGCCACAGTCATCTGTAGAATAAACACCCACTTAATGCAGAAGTCACAGCACATCCATGAAGTTCACCCACATTCCCACAACTAGACAAATTAAGGCAGTTTCCCACAAACTCGCACAGCACTAAGACTCTCGGTCTCCCCTGGCTTGTTCTCATGCGGCCTTGGAAGGGATTCCACGGCTTCAGGTCAGGCAAAGCACAGCATTTGTGGATGGTGCTGGGTGACTGTTCGCCAGGTCAGGGACAGAGTTCTGCAGCTCGGGGCTGTCCTGTGCTAGAGCCTACCTTCCTCCATGTGATATTTCTAGGATCGACAGGACTTTGCTTTAATTGAGAGGAAAACCCCGTGTTTGGAAAGGCCATGTAACAAGCTAGGGGTTGTTCCCGGTGACAAAGCTTATGTAATCACCCATCTTGCTCTCAGTGGAAGACTGGTCAACTATGGTGTTGGCTGCGCAGGAAGCACGGTGCAGATGCCTCGGTCCTGGGGAGTGTCCTTACCCGTCCATGATCATGGCGTCCAGCGTGGTTTCCCCAAACTCATCCGGGCTTCCTCCAAAGCCCACGGTGCCGTCACACTGCTCCCGCTCACACACCGCACAGCCCGTCTCCACGGCATCCAGGGCGGAACCTCCGGACACTAACACCCTCCACGCTGCTCAGCAAATGCCAAGAGAGAGTGTTTCAATCCAAATGCAACCAACCAGAAATGTCTTGAGAAATCATATTTTTAAAATTACTTTTCACATTTATCTCTAAGTTAAACTGAACTTTTAAATTAGTGTATCAAATGCGACAAAGGAATCGGAGTGATATACACAGTGGTATAGACAAAATTAAGGCAACTACTTACTGTGAAGAATTCAAAGATTTTGGCTACTGATGAAAAGAGGGTTTTTTCCCCCCACTTATTAAAACATATTTCTACTGAGTGTGAGAAAAAAAATCCTCTCCTTCAATTTAAAGTTATAACGGAAGCTGCTAAAAACATTATCTGTACATTGAAAATTCATTAAATCAAAGCCTTAAAAATGTCTGTATCATTAGATCATTAAAACTATGTATTACTAATACTTTTATTGGGGTAGCACCTACCATAGGAAGTCTCAATAACAATACCACAAGAGCATATAATTACAGTGCGGGCTTCACATAGATTCATTTAACCTTCACCACAGCTTTCCAGGTAAGTACTGTGCAATTATTATCCTCACTTTAAATAGGAGGAAACAGACCCAGAGAGGTTCAGTAACTTATTCCAGGTCACACATAGCAGGTAGCAAGCCAGGATTCAAAAGTAGCCATTTTGGCTGCAGAGCCCATGCTTTTAGCATTGAAAAGGAAACAAACAAAAACAAACAAGTCTTCAATGGTCCATTTCTTTACTAATTAAAAACAACAACACACATTCCTTAAAGGGTGGGTGCTGCTTTGGGTAAATAATGTAAGTATTCCTACTGGCCACACCAACTTGAAAGTGTATTCTGAGCAGCTGTATACACTAGACACAGAACTGTCCCCTGCCTGGGCCCCTGCACTTCCTTTCCTCATTGTCGCTGGGAATTAGTTCCTCTTGGTCTGTTTCCTCATTTTCTATGAATGCATTCACTGCTTACAATGTCCAAACTGAGCTCCACCAAATTCTGGAGCCAATTCTGCCCCCAGGAAGTCCTATTAGCAACCTCAGGCGGGGTCTGAAATTACTCCGGGGTATTGTGTCTTGAAATGAAAGAAACACACAATGCAGTGAGAAAATGGCTAGATAATGGTCTGTACAGAGGATAAGCACTGATGACAAGGGCAGTACATCAGGGGGGGCTTCCTGGAGGCGGCAATACTTCCGCTACAATCCTGGCTGCAAATGAAAATCACTTAGGGAGCTTTACACACACACTTACACACACACACACACACACACAGAGAGAGAGAGAGAGAGAGAGAGAGAGAGAG